CAGTAAAACCTGGATAAATTCAACGAAAGAATGCTTGGATAAATGAAACATCGCTATCCCCTCCACTTGGGGGGATCCCCCTAGGCGAGCCGAGCCGCTCGACGAGGAAACCGTGTAATATGATCCGACCGTAATATCCGTGTGACTAATACTAATTCAATGATAAAACTTTTTTATTTTTAACTTTTTCTCAATGAAACTTTTACTAATGCATTTGTGAGATTTTTCTGATTAAAATGATACCAAACACGATATAGGTTGAATGATATTTATTTATTAAAATAATAATAAAATGGTACATTATAATAAAAATTGTCATATATTGAAATGAATAAGGTTTGAAGGATAAAAAATAACGCATCAAAAGTTATGGAGTTCGTTGACAAAGGGAAGATGCAGTAAAAACGACGAATAATCAGATCATCTTTGTACGACGCATTGCAGTAAAATTTGCTGAATTGGTTCATCGAAAGAAGAACTCTTGGTGATTTCATAACGAATGCCGTAATTATGGACAAAACAACAGAATTAAAGAACAGTATGGGGTTGACATTCGATTTTAAAGTTAGTACGAGCTGGTAAGATGGATTTAAAAAAAGACATAATATACGTTTAGTGAAAATTTATGGGGAAAGTGCAAATGCTGTTATCCGTCCAGTTGTGAAGAAGAAGAACCAAGAAAATCCAGTACGAGGATGTTAATCATTGGTGCCTAAAAAATAAAAATTAATTATTAAAATGAAAATTATGTTTATAATTTTTATAAAATTATACAACTGTACTTATAATGAATATTAAACATTACCTAATACATGGGTTTTGATGACTTTAAACATATCTCGAATAACAGGCGGTTGTAGAGATAGATGCGAGTCCACACGCTCAAACAAATGTTGCAGCCCCTTTTGTTCATTAGGTTGTACGTCTGCATTTTCTTGCATCTCATCTTCTTCCTGCTCTTCTCTATCTTCCTCGTCTATGAATGTTCTTCTTTCTTGTTCATCACAATTGGACATAAATTGTACAATATCTTCTTGTACGTATGATTCATTTGTTAAGGTGCTTATGTCTTCCCTCATAGCACGACGATACGAATCTTCCTGATTGGGAATAATTTTTTTCCAGGAATTAATGATATTGTTGGCAGATACTTCCCTCCATGATTCGTCCAAAATTTGTATACAATCTTTTAGTGTAAATTGCTTCTGAAATTCATTTATCCCGCCTTGATATGTAATCGCTTTCCTTATCGCTTTATGGCGATACACTGCTTTCATTTTGGCTATTATGCCCTGGTCCATTGGCTGTATTACACTGGTCGTGTTAGGAGGAAGATACATAATCTTAAAATTGTCTTTATCTAATAATTCTTCCGGCAATTTATGTCCTCCACAATTGTCTAATAATAATATTACTTTACCGGTCAGTCCGTTTCTTAATTGATGTGCCCGTACACTGGGCTTAAAATAATGTTCAAACCACTCATAAAATAATGGCTGCGTTATCCACGCATTCTTCTGCGATTTAAAAATAACAGGAAGATTGCTTCTGCAATGTTTCAAAGCCCTAGGATTTTCGTATTTATTAATCACTAGCGGCATTAGCTTGTGCGTCCCAGATGCATTCGCACATAGCGCCACCGTAATTCGCTCTTTGCGACTTTTGTATCCCTTCACAACCCCTTCTTCTCTTCCTGCCAAGGTCTTCGATGGTAAGGCTTTCCATAAAAGCCCAGTTTCATCCATATTGTAGATGTTATCTATATTTATACTGTCATCTTCCAATAATTTAGTAAAATCGTCACAAAATTGTTTCGCGGAATCATGATCAGCACTTGCACTTTCCCCATAAACTTTCACTAAACGTATATTATGTCTGTTTTTAAATCCATCTGACCAGCCCCTACTAACTTTAAAATCGAGCGGCAACCCCATACTGCACTTTAATTCTGTTGCTTTGTCCATCATTACGGCATTCGTTATGAAATCACCAAGAGTTCTCCTTTCGATGAACCAAGCCAGCAAATTTTGCTCCAATGTATCGTACAAGGATGGTTTGATTCTTCGTCGTTTTCGCTGCATCTTCCCTTTGTTAAGGAACTCCATAATTTTTGGTGCATTATTTTTTATCCTCCAAATCGTTATCCGATTCACTTTATATTTTTTGGCCACGAGCGGAACACTAAAAGTTTTTAAGTCCTCTAAGACTTGCAATCGTTCCTCTAAGGATAGAATTACTTTCTTTCTGGTCGCCATTTCAAACACTTTAACCATTCACTAAGTATCGACAGTTCGATTGATTCTGGTGGCGGGTAACAATTTGTTTTCGTTGAAGTCACCTCGCACGGGGTGATTTTGGCGGGGGTGACCTACTCGGATTGGTAAAATCGGTTCTCACTGATTTTTCTCATTGGTTGAACATATTTGGCAGTGGTACTATGATAGTCACCGCCTTCGACTAACGGTTGTCTCAGGTACCGAAGCTACCCCTGTGACATCGAGGAAATTCCACGTGGTTGCGAAGTGACCGTGGCGGGCAATAAACTGAGGAACCGTTTTAACTCTGACAAAACATATTGAGAATAAAGAACCCCAAAATGAAACATACAAATCCCGAGGCAACAGAGGTAGACAATCAACACGAAAATATTTCTAGGAAAGTAGTAAACTGGTCGATGGCTTCATAAACTTATTGTTACCACGGTTGAGTTCAGAATATTTTTCAGCTGCGGAACTATTGACTGCAAATTAGGTGCTTTATGATGTTAGGAAAAGTCCGTGATTTCCATGAAACCGGGCAGTTTCTTCCTATTGAAAATTAAAGTAATTTACGAGCTAAGAATAATAATAGAATAAATAAACAATAGTAATAGAATAAACAATAGTAATACAATAAACAATAGTAATAGAATAAACAATAGTAATAGAATAAACAATATAGAATTGACACCACGACTGAATATAAATGATGTCGGCTGAATACAAAAGATGTGTACGGACATAGAATCGGCATGTCGGCTGCAAAGAAAACATGTGTACGGACACAGAGTCGGCATGTCGGCTGCAAAGAAAACATGTGTACGGACTCAGAATCGACACCTCGCTTGGATAAATGAAACATTAAATGCCCAGAATCGACTCCTTGCTTGAATAAATGAAACATTAAATGCCCGGAATCGACTCCTCGCTTCAATAAATGAAACATTAAATGCCCAGAATCGACTCCTCGCTGGGATAAATGAAACCTTTGAAACCAAAGCCGACACCGCCACTGGTTTGGATTTCGATCTCTCTTGCTTTTCGCCAACTTATAACATCAATTTTAGCAAGTAATTATAATTGAAACTATATCGTGTTTGGTACCACTTTACTCACAAAAATCTCACCAATGCGCTAGTAAAAGTTTCACTCAAAAAAAGTCAAAAATAAAAAAGTTTTTTGATTCAATTAGTATTAGTCACACCGATACGTTTCGGCTCTTTCCTTTGATTTCGGACCTCTCTCTTTTCACCACTGTCTGTCCCTTTCTACGTTCACGCTTGGCTGGTCGTCACGTATCATCCGAGCTTCGATACCGTGCTTACATAAACGCAACCACTGGGTCCCAATCTTGGTTGAATTTATCCAGGTTTTACTGTATATTTCTTACGTGTACATTTCTGTGATACCATTAAAAGTTAAGTTGTGATCGTTACGCAAGCGTGTTTCACTCTGACCTCTCCGACCACGCAAAACGCGAACAACCTGTTTTGTGAAGAATCTAATCAAATCGTCCCAAATTTCCAAAAATCGCTGAACGCACTGGTGCATCTCCAACCAGTGCGCGTCTGACAGTTTCAGAACTTTCAGCGGACAGTTCTGATAGCTTTCCTGAAACTGCCGGAAAATTGCAGCTTGTTTAGGGCTGCTTTTTATAAAAGAAATCACACCCCGAAGCAATTTGAAACATTCCTCTGGAAGTGTAGCGCAAGCAGCACTCGTTGCCAATGCTACCGAATGACATAGCAAGGGAATGTAATTACATTGCCGTTTTTTTCTAACAATTTAGTTTTAAAAGAAGAATTCCTCCTCGTCATTACAGAAGCATTATCGCAATTAAGGGCCGCGATATTTTGCAGCGAAATTTGCATTTTCAGCATTTGATTTTCGAAAGATTTGAAAATCTTTTCTGCTGAGCAATCGCTGGCGTCCAGATGAATTAGTTGCAATAACTCTGTACGCACTACGAAACTACATGGCTCCACGTACCTCACCGCTAAGGTAAGCCATTTATCATTAGTCGAGTCCGACGTTTCGTCCGCGTGTATTGTTCGGAAAATTCGAGTGGTCGGAGCAGGCAGAAAGGTAGTACGCACTTTGACGATCACAGCAGTTTATTACAGAGTAAGAAAAATATATACAGTAAAAGCTGGGTATATGCAACAAAAGTTTGGCTGGATATATGCAACATCGATATCCCGTCCACTTGGGGGGATCCCCCTAAGCCGAATCGAGCCGCTTGGCGAGGAAACCGTGTAATATGATCCGTCCGTAATATCGGTGTGACTAATACCAATTGAACGATAAAACTTTTTTATTTTTAACTTTTTCTTAATGAAACTTTTACTAACGCATTTGTGACATTTTTCTGATTAAAATGGTACCAAACACGATATGATTTGAATTATATTTATTTATTAAAATAATAATAAAACTGCACATTATAATATGTATTGTCATATATTGGAATAAGATGTTGTAATAATTTTACAAAATTATTGGAAGAAGATAGTATAAATATAGATAATATCTATAATATGGATGAAGCTGTCCTTTTCTATGGAAAGCCTTACTATAAAGAAAATCCAGGTCGAGGATGTTAATCATCGGTGCCTAAAAAATAAAAATTAATTATTAATATGAAAATTATGTTTATAATTTTTATAAAATTACTTTTATAAAGTACTTAGAATTGATATTAACATTACCTAATACTTGGTTTTTGATGACTTTATAGATATTTTAAATAAAAGGCGCTTCTTGTGTTAAATCCAGCTCCAAACGCTCATATAAACGTTGCCGCTCTTCTTGTTTATTCACTTCTTCTGCGTTTTCTTGTATCTCTTCATCTTCTTGCATCTCTTCATTTTCTTGCATCTCTTCATCTTCCTCGACTGTGTGTGTTCTTCTTTCTTCTTGTTCACAATTGGACAGAAAGTCTGCAATATCTCGTTGGCTGTATGTATCACCTGTAAAGCTGGTTATGTCCTCCCTCATAACACGATGATACCAATCCGCCTGACTCGGAATAATTTTCTTCCATGAATTAATACTATTATTCGCAGATATTTCGCTCCATGACTCGTGCAGTATTTCTATGCAATCTTTTAATGTAAACTGCTTCTGAAATTCACTTATTCCGCATTGGTAAGTAATAGTTTTCCTTAATGTTTTATGGCGATACAGACATTTCAGTTTAGCTATTATACCCTGGTCCATGGGTTGAATTAAGCTGGTGGTATTTGGCGGGAGATACATAATTTTGAAATTATCTGCATCCAATAATTCAGGCGGCACTGTATGTCCTGCGCAATTATCCAATAACAAAATAACTTTTCCAGTTACTCTTTTGTTTAGCTGGTATGTCCGTACACTGGGCTTAAAATAATTTTCAAACCAATCACGAAACAATGTTTGTGTCATCCACGCATTCTTTTGAGATTTGAAGATGACGGGAAGATTACTTTTACAATGCTTCAGAGCTCTAGGATTTTCAAATTTATTAATAACTAGGGGCATCAACTTGTGCGTCCCAGATGCATTTGCACATAGCGCTACTGTAATTCGCTCCTTGCGGCTTTTATACCCCTTTACGACCTTGTCTTTTCTTTCTATCAAGGTCTTTGATGGTAAGGCTTTCCATAAAAGACCAGCTTCATCCATGTTATAGATATTATCTATATTTATACTATCATCTTCCTCCAGTAATTTTGTAAAATTATTACAAAATGTTATCGCGGAATCTTCATCAGCACTTGCACTTTCCCCATACACTTTCACTAAAGCTATATTATGTCTTTTTTTGAATACATCTAACCAACCCTTACTATCTTTAAAATCAAACGGCGACCCCATACTGTACTTCAATTCCCTTGCTTTTTGCATAATTACGTCATTGGATATAAAATCAGCAAGAGTTCTTCTTTCAATAAACCATGCCAGCAAACTTTGCTCCAATGTATCATATAACGATGGTCTCATTCTTCTTCGTTCTCGCTGGATCTTCCCTTTGTTCACAAACTCCATCACTTTGCGACGACAGCCGCGGATCGGCGTCGCGCATCGCGGGCCCCCACCGCGGCAGCCTCCCCACTCCCGCGAGCGAGGCTATAAGTAGGATCGATCGACGCGTGGATCGATGAGTTGCCTCGGGGCCTCGGTAGTGATGCCAGAACCGTGGGACGTGGGACAAATCTTTACCCTCTCCACGACGTCCCACGACGTCCCAGTGACTCCCCTTCCGCAGTTGTTTCATCTAACACAAGCGCGTTGTCCCACGTGTCCGTGTGAACTCTCTGCGGGTTTGGCAGAGTTCGGCTGCTCTCGTCATTTCTACGTTATCGGCTCGATGCTCAAGCCGCTAAAGCACGTGGCAGCAGCATCGACGAATCGACAAAATAATATAATTTCGTGCATAGCAATAAGGCTAAATTAAGAAACCAGGAGAATCAGTTCGAATCCCGATTTTACGGTTTCAGTTCTGATTCTTAATACATTAACGTTTTTCTAATACATAAAAATACATTTTTGATACATTAATACTATGAAATACATTAACTTGGAAAGCAGTTAAAAAAAGGAGTTGAACTGCATCTTTCTTTGATATTTTTTTTAATATTTAAGTTTTATATATATACATATGTATGTACGTACATATGATAAAAGTACGTGATACAGGAGTAATTGCTTCAATTAGATATTACTGTTATTCTAACTATTACAATACGTAAATTCGAAGACATACGAGGAAAATTGGTTAGGTTAAATTGTAAGGATATAAAGAAATTTCAATCTTTAACGGTTTGTCAGTTTTATTTCTTATTCCTTACAACTATTATAATTTTATTCTCTGAATGGTCATTACAATGAAAGATGGATTAGATACAATTTGATTCCTCATTTAATTTGTTATATACATATCAGGTTTCTTGCAACTATTGTACCTGGTCCACACTTACACGATATTGCATATTTTACTTTCCTATAATACAACCAAGAAATCAAAACTATAATATAGTGATTACCATAATACAATAAAAAATGTTAAGCTTGGTATAAACCTTATGTTTTTTTTGTGTACTTAATCTGCACTTACGCTTCGTTGCTTTATAATGACTGATTTTTCTTTTGAATGAAACTTCCACTAGCGTATTGATGAAATTTTTCGATTAAAACAAGATCAAACACGACGTAATTTGAATTATAGTTACTTTATATATTTGCATTAGGTTTTAAATAAATAAGTAAATATGCAAATTATGTCGTGTTTGGTCTTATTTTGATCAGAAGAACCTTCCAATTATATTGGTGAAAGTTTCATTTAGCAAAAATGAAAAATAAAAAAGTTATGGTTAAATTAATATTGTCTCACTCAAATGTTTTTTCTCGGGTCCTTTAATTCTCGGACCTCTTTCTCTTTCGCTATTTGTCTTTTTCTACGTTCGCCAGCATTCAAGAACTCGCTCGAGCTGTGTCGTTCTGCCAGCCTCGCACACTTTCAGGAGAATCGGGAAAATCCAGCATAATAATACATTCTATGCTGAAAGAATATACTAAGTTATCTGTCTAAAAAATCTGACAACAGATTTATTTTTGGGCTGCTTTTCTTAAGTAATCAGCATTTTACCAGTCTCCTGTACGGATCGGGTGTAGCAGTTTATAGCAAACTCAACATGTTTTCGATATTATGTCTAATACACAACCGATCGAAAAATATTAAAAATCCAGGATATTTTGTGCCGTTTTTTATATGTCAAGGGCCATCGAAATGAAATAAATGATCAACAATGAATATTGTAATAAAGGTGATCGCTTTTCATCTATTTCCTTTCTACGATGTATTTCTTCCACAAGAGACGGTTTCCTAACAATTTACAGTACAGTAAAATCTGGGTACATATAATGCAAGACGTCCGATCAAACTTCGACACCTCGCTCGGATATGCATATGCAATGTTTTGATTCGATCTCTCTGACTTTTCGTCTACTTTTAACATCAATTTTAGCAAGTAATTACAATTCAAACTATATCGTGTTTGGTATCATTTTAATCAGAAAAATCTGGCCAATACGCCAGTAAAAATTTCATTTAAAAAAAATCAAAAATAAAAATGTTTTATAACTAAATTAGTATTAGTCACACCGATATGTTTCGGCTCTTTCGTTTGATCATTTGACCTCTCTCTCTCCTCCACTGCCTGTCGCTTTCTACGCTCACGCTTGGCTGGCGTCGCGCGTAACCCGAGATTCGACACCTCGCTTGGATCCCATCTCTCTTGCATATGTATATCCAGATTTTACTGTACTGTAAATTGTTAGGAAATCGTCTCTTGCGGAAGAAATACAGGATTGCCTCGAAATAAGCAAGTGGTCTCTGCTTCGAAATAAGCAACTGTTAGGTCTCGAGCCACTTGCTTATTTCGAGGCAATCCTGTACATCGTAGAAAGGAAATAGATGAACAGCGATCACATATATTATACTATTCATTGTTGGTCATTTATTTCATTTCGATGGCCCTTGACATACAAAAAGCGGCACAAAATATCCTGGATTTTTAATATTTGTCGATCGGTTGTGTATTCTACATAATATCGAAAATATGTTGAGTTTGCTACAAACTGCTACACACGATCTGTACAGGAGAATGGTGAAATTCTGATTACTTAAAAAAAGCAGTCAGAAAATAAATCTATTGCCAGATTTATTAAAATTTTATTAAACAGATAAGTTAGTATATTCTTTCAGCATAGACGTGTTATTATGCTGGATTTTCCCGATTCTCCTAAAAGTGTGCGAGGCTGGCAGAACGACACAGCTCGAGCGAGTTCTTGAATGCTGGCGAACGTAGAAAAAGACAAATAGCGAAAGAGAAAGAGGTCCGAGAATTAAAGGGCCCGAGAAAAAATATTTGCGTGAGACAATATTTATTTAACCATAACTTTTTTATTTTTCATTTTTGCTAAATGAAACTTTTACCAATGTAATTGGAAGGTTCTTCTGATTAAAATAAGACCAAACACGACATAATTTGCATTATATTTACTTATTTATTTAAAACCTAATGCAAATATATAAAGTAACTATAATTCAAATTATGTCGTGTTTCATCTTGTTTTAATCGAAAAATTTCATCAATACGCTAGTGGAAGTTTCATTCAAAAGAAAAATCAGTCATTATAAAGCAACGAAGCGTAAGTGCAGATTAAGTACACAAAAAAAACATAAGGTTTATACCAAGCTTAACATTTTTTATTGTATTATGGTAATCACTATATTATAGTTTTGATTCCTTGGTTGTATTATAGGAAAGTAAAATATGCAATATCGTATAAGCGTGGACCAGGTGCAATAGTTGCAAGAAACCTGATATGTATATAACACATTAAATGAGGAATCAAATTGTATCTAATCCATCTTTCATTGTAATGACCATTCAGAGAATAAAATTATAATAGTTGTAAGGAATAAGAAATAAAACTGACAAACCGTTAAAGATTGAAATTTCTTTATATCCTTACAATTTAACCTAACCAATTTTCCTCGTATGTCTTCGAATTTACATATTGTAATAGTTAGAATAACAGTAATATCTAATTGAAGAAATTACTTCTGTGTCACGTACTTTTATCATATGTACGTACATATATATGATATACATATGACGTACGTACATATGTATATATATAAAACTTAAATATTAAAAAAAATATCAAAGAAAGATGCAGTTCAACTCCTTTTTTTAACTGCTTCCCAAATTAATGTATTTCATAGTATTAATGTATTAAAAATGTATTTTTATGTATTTAAAAAACGTTAATGCATTAAGAATCAGAACTGAAACCGTAAAATCGGGATTCGAACTGATTCTCCTGGTTTCTTAATTCAGCCATATTGCCATGGACGAAATTATATTATTTTGTCGATTCGTCGATGCTACTGCCACGTGCTTTAGCGGCTTGAGCATCGAGCCGATATCGTAGAAATGACGAGAGCAGCCGAACTCTGCCAAACCAGCAGAGCTCACACGGACACGTGGGACAACGCGCTTGTGTTAGATGAAACAACTGCGGTAGGGGAGTCACTGGGACGTCGTGGGACGTTGTGGAGAGGGTAAAGATTTGTCCCACGTCCCACGGTTCTGGCATCACTGCCCGAGGCAACTCATCGATCCGCGCATCGATCGGTCCTACTTATACTCTAATTGCTCGGGAGTGGGGACGCCGCCGCGGTGGGGGCCCGCGATACGCGACGCCGATCAGCGGCTGTCGTCGCACCTTGACTTCAAACCACTAATAATAATCTTCCACGTTATAAACTGCACGATAGGCGTCACTCATCACCACCGGTCTCCGTCGAAATGATAATTGTCGCATTTTTACTTTTATATGCTTATAAATATTTACATTTATTTATTATATATTGTAGGAAATAATAGCCGATCGGTCAACGTTCCCGAATATTTTCGAAATGCATGGCCAATGATAGGGGCGTCGCGAGGGGTCCGCGACGCGTCAGAATCGGATTAAAGAAACAAAAGTTCAGTTGACGACAGCGAGGAACAGCATTAATTATATATAACACATTAATTATATAACATATAGTTTTCGTATAAAAAGTTCAATAGCATATAGTCTTTTTTGTTAAATAGCGTTAAGTTACTTTGCGTTAAGTCACTTATTTACACTTAATTTACAGTTTATGATTGATTAAAAATGCAGTAAAGCAATAGCATTTAATTCAGTTTCTATGTTTAATAAAACACATTTTTGTTTAATCGTTTGAATTGATATTAATTTATCCACTGCACTAAATCCATTTTCACAAAAAACAGCGAGTTCTTTTGATGAAAGCGGAT